ACTATTGGTTGTGCAATTATGAATCTGCTAAGTTCACATTGCATTGTTAATATGTACCTGTAACCGTTTGATGGTCTCAGGGGGCCGACTGTGTCAATTTGTATTGTTTCGAAAGCGGTATATGGGGTTGAAGTAATTTGAAGTTGTTCTTTACTATGTTTAATTTGTTTGTTCTTTTGACACTTTTCACATGTCGTGATGAATTTGTGTACCATTCGCTTCATGTGTTTCCACGTGTATTTTTGTTTTAGTCTTGTAACTGTTTTGCGTATTCCAAGATGTCCGCTGATTGGATTGTTGTGGTATTCTTCAATCAATCTATACATTTTTATTGTGTCCGTGATGTGTTCTGGTTTCCTATATAACAATATTGTTAACTTTTTATTGTTTTTATTCTTCCGTTGCAACGTATTAATAATATTCTTAAATTGATTTTTATCCATGGATTCAAATATTTTATCGTCGTAAGATAATGCTAATTGCAATATATCTAGTTTCTCTGCTTGAGTTATCAGCTTAACCATAATCGAAATCGGCTTCGGAGGTATTTCGCCTAACTCTACGACAAATTCTTTTTCATCATAATATATAGATGCATCTTTATTCTTCAGTTTTTCTCTACATTTGAATTGTAGTTTTCTAATTCCTCGTATGTCACTTATGGAAGTACAATCCCAGCAATAGAGTTGATCAGGCTCAGTAGGTTTTGTATCCACTTGTGTATTTGTCGAGGGTGCGCGCTTACTTTTGCTACGAGTCGTTATACATACTCGAGCTTTCTCATTAATTTGTTCCAAAATTTCATTTTCTACCGGAATACACATCTTGCGGTCTGACGTTTTATCTTCTTTACTTGGTATCAATCTTTTTAAAATATCGCTGTCTATCTTTATTCTCGATAGTGCGTCGGCATTAGTGTTTATTTTACCTTTTTTATAAACGATGTCGAAGTCATAGTCAGATAGGTCTACTCGAATCCTCGTCATCTTAGAAGATGGATTCTTATGTACAAATAGAGATATCAATGGTCTATGGTCAGTGACGACGTGGAAATGTTTGCCATATACATATGGTCGAAAATAATTAATTGCCCAATGTATCGCAAGTAGCTCCTTTTCAATGACTGGTTTATTCAGATCATGTTTTTGTAGGGCTTTGCTTGCGTAGCATATTGGCAAATCTGAACCGATTTCACCTTGTGAAAGGGCTGCACCGAGTGCATAATCAGATGCGTCTGTTGTGATTATAAAGGGTTTACTGAAATCAGGGTACTGAAGTATAGGAGGGTTTATAAGAATGGTTTTCAGTTGTTGAAATGCTGCGTCGCATTCTGGGTTCCATTCAAATTTTTGATTTTTCTTTAACATTCTGTTTAGAGGTTTAGTTATGGATGCAAAGTCTTTGATAAATCGCCTGTAGTAATTACAAAAGGCTACGTATCTTCTTACTTCATCGACATTCGTTGGTTTCGGATAGTCTCGTATAACTTTATGTTTATTTGGGTCTGTCTTAACACCTTGCTCTGTTATTAGATGTCCTAGGTATGTAACTTCGTGTTTTAAGAAGTTACATTTCTCTGGGTTCAATTTGAGATTATATTCGCTTAATCTCTGAAATACCTTTTCTAAATTTAAATTGTGATGTTTCAGACTATTGCCAAAGACGATAATGT